ATGTGGCCGTGGCTGGCCCTGCTGCTACAGAGCGACGGTGTCCCCCTCTTCCATGATCATACAGGGTTTGACAGCGTTTTATAGAAGCCCGAGGACGGTGAGACCTCCTGCTGCAACTACGCCAAGGGCTACTGCATGGGATGCAGATCCAAGTGCTGGTGACGCTCCCGAGGTGGATAGTACATTGGCAGTGCCGTTGGCCTTCCCTGGGGGTCAGATCTGGTCCGGATTCGGATATTGGGGTCACCACTTACGCCGATGCAACCCTGAGGGCCTGAGCACCCGATATTCCTATTCTCGGCAATGACGTTTGCCTGTAGAGGGTCTATGGGCGCGGGCGATGCAGACGCTGGATTCGAGTTTGCTATTTAGTATCTCTGGGAAATATTCAGCCAAGTGCTGCGATACATACCGAGAGCGATGGAGAGAGCAAAAACGAGAGTGAGGGTCTGAATGACGCGTGCGTACATCGTGACTTGCACGGTTGAGTTGTAAGAATAGACTGATGCGATGGTATCACGAGGGTGAGGTATAAGGGCGGCGTGCGGCTAGGACAAGTGAAGCTCCGAGTCGGGGGCGTTGCAGCAGAGAAGACTCAGGAGCAGGGGAGGAGAGAGGGAGGTCGATGCCCTGCCCTTTGGTTGCCTGGTGTATTTATCTGTTCATCTTGTACGTTCCCTTGTAGTTAAGCGAACGGAAGGAAGGATTCTCGCGACCTTGACCATCCTCGCAACTCAAAGGGAAGGCCAAATTCGGAAGAATGTCCAGGGGCACGTGGCAGGATTTGCATCACGAGCGCCAAACGGCTTCCGTCTTTGTTCTTGACTGTCCCAGCTTGAAGTTGTACTGCATGCTTGGTTATTCTTTACCATGTTGTTTTTGATCTCGAAGCGCGAACTTGGGTTACAACATGGCAACTTTCAAAATTCCTGCTCGAGACGTCCTCATAATGCTGTATGCGATGCACTTACGATGAGTCAAGATACCTCATGGCTACGAGGATACACCGACTTGGAGGCTATCATTGCGCTGCCCTTTATCTCAGAGGCAACTTCAGGATAAGTGTAGTGATGCATCAAGAAAGCGGTCAAGTCGGCCATTAAATGCCATGGTGACTCAGGTAAGAGTACAAACTCTTCGCGTTCGTACAACGTGGCTGCTGACAACGAGTATGTTAAAAAGTCCCTCACACGCCTCCTTCTCCTGCTCATCGCCACGCCGAGATGATCCGCGTTGGTACTTGGCCAGTGAGCGAGAAGAACGGCTGAGGGAGCATCATCGCCTCCAGTTCCTCGTCGAGAAATCTAGGCATCGGTGTGCCGTCTACGGCGCCCGCATGTTGTCGTTCGTCCTCCGGCGGTGGAACTGCCCTTGTGGTGTCGGTCAAGGCATGCAAGCGTATCCCCAAAGTGCGCCACTCACGGGTTTCGAGCTGGAACCCGAAGACAAAGTTGAAGGCCGCTATCATAACACTGGTGAATGTCATCATCTTGGTCTGTATGGTGCGGTGCGTTCGGATTGAGGAGGTGACGAAAGGTGTAGTGGTTGCAGGTGAGTTGGAAGTTCTCCCTGTTGGACGACGCGGTTTTCTACCAGCTGCGAAGACAAAGCGCTTTGGCTGTATGGTGCGACCATAGCTCAACCACAAGTGCAATACACTCGTCGCTGTTGCATGTAAGAACGTGCATGATGCCGAAGCGAACCGGTCTTTATACGGTCTTTGTGACTGAGGGAGGCGAAACCGTGTGGCGGTATGTGATATCATTGAATTGGCTCGATTGGTAAATTGGATCTCTGTCAGTGTTATTCACACAATGTTCGTCCAAAAGCTCATACGTGACCTCCAAAGTCTGGGCCTGAGGTCTGATGTCGACAGAACAGTATCGTTCTGCACGTTCTCCGTCATAACTGCTGTTAAGTATGGGACAGCATCTACTCATCGCAGACCTGATAAGCAATATTGCTCTAATCGCCCATTGTATTAAATTTACCTGCATGTTATTGCGCTGTGATCACAGGTACGAGACACCTTCATAAAATGCATGCGATGTCCTTACTCAGATGCCGCCGGATGTGCAGAGCGGTCGGCGTCCGACTTCAAGAATCAAATGAGTATATTGTGTTTACGAAACCGAACGCGGTCACGTTGTGGAACGCGATCGCAAGGACCGGTGGATAACGCGGGGCGATAAACGATAAGCTCGGACTTACCCAGGCTTTCCATCCTTATCGCCCTGAACGTCGGCCGCACAATGTAATGTAGCCGAGGTGGCGACCACTCAGCGTCATCAGGTCCGCGACCGAGCATCTTGGAAGGCACGAACGTGACGAAGGATGAAGCGGCGCGAGACCGTTATGCCGTACGGTCGATAGCCGCCACCCTTTGAAGAGGGTCATGACTCCGGGGCTCGCGTCCCGCTATCGCCGTCGAGCCTTTCCGCCGTGGGTTATAAAAGACGGAGGTGTGTCTCCTGACTCGCTGGCCTCCCATCTGTGCACGAAGATGAAGATGCAGCTCAACGTTTTCGCAGGCATTGCCATCGGCTTCGCGACCCTAAGCGCCGTTGCGGCCGGTCAGGTCAGCATACAACATACTGGAAGGACGCTCACTCTGGGGAACGTCTCGTACTTCGTACCACCCTCTCCGGTCTCGACGCTGAACAATGCGGCATTCCTCGTCAAGCCTGCATCCGGGGACTTGATCCCTTTCTCGGTGATCCCCACTTCGAAGTTGGTCTTCGACGAGAAGGCGCTCGAGGACACCTTATCCTTGTGGGCTGCCCACGATGACGTCTGGAGCAAAGAGTTTCTGACAGGTATTTGTCTCAATCAGACGTCTGAATATAAGCTAATGCTATTGAATCACAGGCGTGTATGTCACCTTCAATGGTACGCGTGGTAGACCTTCGACGTCACTCGGGAGCGCGCAAAAGAAATTCGGCATCGATTTCGTGCTGCGTTCCAAAAGCTTCTCGTTCGGCGTCGACTTCAAGACGCCGCTTCCGTCTGGACCGTACTTCTTGGAGCCAGCTACTGGGCACGTCTTCCAAGGTAAGCCCCACGTTGTTTTGGCCCTCAGCGGGCTGCAACTGATCCTTGACGTAGCGTACCGCTTGTACAATGATGAGAACCAGTCTTTCCTGTACGGAACGGTGCCCGACGGCGACGGTGGATATCAGATTCTGTCTGCGCGCGCTCCCGGTGCGGCAACAGAGACCATCGGCGTCCCCTCGAGGCTGTATTTCACTCCCACTAAGGAGAAGCCGCTTGCCGGATTCCGTGTTGCGGTGAAGGACATCTTCGACATCAAAGGGCTGCGCACTGGGTGCGGTAATCGTGCGTTCTGGCAACTCTATCCGCCCAAGGCGCGCACGGCTCCAGCCATACAGCGATTGCTCGACGGCGGGATGGTTCTCGTGGGCAAGGCGAAGACGTCGCAGTTCGCGAACGGGGAGACGGCGACGGACGACTGGGTTGACCTCCACGCGCCGTACAATCCGCGCGGAGACGGCTACCAGGACGGGAGCAGTTCGTCGACGGGCCCAGGGACGGCGACTGCGGCGTATCCGTGGCTGGACTTTGCTGTTGGAAGCGATACTGGGGGCTCGATGCGCGGCCCCGCTGGTGCGAACGGCGTGTTTGGAAATCGCCCCTCCCATGGCGCGGTCAGCTTAGACGATGTCATGCCGCTCTCACCGGAGTTGGATACTGCAGGCATCTTTTCTAGGGATGCGAAGCTCTGGGCCACCGCTGGTCAGTGGTGGTATCAGAACTTCACCTCGGTGCGTTTCGTATATAATTGTGGGGGCCTAGCGGTGCTAACCTGTCGTTTCAGTTCTCGCGATTCCCCAAGAAGATTATCTTCCCTGTAGATGTCTTTGGCTCTAGCTTCCTCACCAACCCCCCTGCTGCTGGCACTACGGCAGCGACGTTCAACTCCTTCATCAGCCAGCTCGAGGGCTTCTTGAACACCACCCGGACGGAGGTCTCGTTCGCTGGCATGTGGAACACCACGAAACCCGCGAACGCCTCCGCGCCGACGCTGCAAGCGCTGCTATCCACGACCTACGCGGATCTCATTACGCTCGACCAGACTGCGCTCGTGGCAGACCCGTTTTTCGCAGACTTCGGTGCGGCGAATGGCGGGAGGACGCCTTTCGTGAACCCCGCGCCGCTCGCTCGCTGGGCCTACGGTCGCGCGCTGCCGGCCGGCCGGAAGGAGGAAGCCTTGACGAATAAGACGATCTTCATGGACTGGTTCGCAGATGAGGTGATCAAGGCAGGCGATCCGGAGACGTGCGCGGATGCGATCTTCCTCTACCCCCAGAGCTCGGGCGGGACGAACTACAGGAACCGGTACATCAGGTGCGTGTCTGTCTGGGCGTCGTTGTGGGACGTCATTGTTGAATTGTCTCTTGCCCAGCTCCCCCACTGCGCCCATCGGGTTCTCGTCGGGAAGAATTGCCGTCCATGGAGAGGTTCCGGACATGGTAGTGCCTAGTGAGTGCCGGTGTGTGCCAATCTGATGCTGGATGCTGCGCTGACTACCACCCAGTCGGCGAGGCACCGTACAATTCGACCGTCACCGGGAAGACAGAGTTCCTGCCGGTCACGCTGAGCTTCGTGACCGCGAAGGGATGTGTGAGTAGCACTTGTCGGTTTGCCCGGTCTGGAGATCTGGAAATTGACCTAGGGTGTTCTAGGACCTTATGCTGTTCAACCTCTTCGCTGCCCTGCAGGATGCGGGGATTGTAAAGCCTGTGGGCACAGGATCGCGGTTGTTTGCATCGTAAGGCAAATAGGGCTCTATACGAGCGTAAAAGCTACCACCGTGTGTAGCTATCTCGTAGGATTATACGGGAACACATCGTTTGATTCAGAATTAGTCACGATGAGCCGCAGTATTGCGCCGAACATTAACGGGTTGATAGTAACCTTGTTTCAGGACTGCAAGGCACGTTTGGTAGCCTTATATTAAGCGGGTGTTAAAGGGAAAAATATTCCCGCTAGCCGACTTGAACGACTGACCTCGTCATCTCGTGTCCGGGGATACTAGTGACGCGCTCTACCAGCTGAGCTAAGCGGGAGTTACTAGTGTAAAATGTACTAGCAATAAGTTACGTCAGCGCTTCAGATAATGACGGCACCTGGAAGCGTGATACTCCTGCTCTCGACTCACTTCACCCACTCGCGCGTACCCACTCCTTTACTTGCTGTTTAAGAAACACATCCGGAGAAGCTTTACAGAGTCGTCTTTCGTGAGTGCAACGAACCCATAATTATTGATGGCAGATAGCGCTGATACCATCTTACTAGGGTCGTGGTGTACATCGCAGGCAGCTTGCAGGTGTCTCCCGTCCGAAGAGTCGACCAAGATGAATTCGTATCCTCCAGAGCTTCTCTATCAGCTGGCGCCGGTCATGTTCGTCGCTGGACTCGATGGGCAGACCCCGCAGCCTCCAGCGGATGTACCCCCAACCCCCCCGGCTCAACAGCCACCGCGACAAGACCCCTTCCAGGTGCTCGCGCTCAGACTGAGGGACGCATTACGAATACAGAGAAAGATTGCTATCTGGCAGCCGGAGAAGCTGAAGACCTTCCACATCGTGCTTGTCGACAAGGTGCGTAACCAGGCCTGTTGATACAGCTCAGTATGTGACAACACCGTAGGACGTCTCATTCCCGCCTCGCAAATCAGTTCAACTAGATCACCCACAATATAACTCGTCTCACTCCCCCGTATCTCCCCTTACCCCTACATCCCCATTATACCCCGACGGCATCATCGCACCTATATGGATTCGCAAGCACATGAACCTCCTCCCCTCTGTCTTCGTCGTGTTCATGCGCATATACGAGTCTCCCCCACCTCAATTTGGTCAATCAGACAGAGACCGCGAAGCAGAGGAGAGACGACGGGACACCGAGCTTTCGGCGGAAATTGCTCAGCGGAAGAAAGGTACGAACGAGCGCGGCCTGAAGCTCACAGTCGTCCTCATGGCCAGCCGAAGAATGCTTGGTGAGTGATGACGCCGCTTTAAGCTTCTGTTCAATCTGCTCACAGGCCAATAGACGATCCGACGCTGGACGGTCGACTTACCTTTATAAGGAGGCAGAGCGGGTTGGACCCTCGCGCCGCGCTATTCGTACTCAGCCCAGTCTCCCCTGCTGAAATCGGCGAGTTCGTGCGCAGGTGCGTCGCGTGATTTGAGCATGCTGCAGACTACGAACGTGCCTGGAACAGTCTACAAGACGCCCTATGGGAGCCGGCTCTTGAGTACTACACGAATCATTCGAAGCGCGTCAGAAGGAAACGCAACAGGCATTCCCAGGCTGCATCTTACCAACTTCCGCTCTCCCCAATGGCCAGCGCGGGTATAGCGCGCCCGCTTCGTCCCGAAGGATGGACCGTTCGCTACGAGTACAAGATGGCATGTTTTGCCGAGTTCCGAGGAGAAGATCAAGTTGCGCTGAAGTACGTGAGCTATGCTATCCCGGTGACCTACCCGTCTCAAGACCTCTAGGCATTACCAGGACGCGTATTCGACGCTTATCATAATGTTTGGCTCTACCGCGATTCTTCCACCACGCACGAAGCGATGGGCAGAAGCTAAAGTGTTGGCGGACTGTATCAATGTCAAGGCACGTAGCTCGTCTATGTACCCATGCACCTGACTCGAATTGCGTTAATTCGTTCAGATTGTGAAATTGTACTTGTACAACAACGAACATGCGCTTGCTTTATCGCACCAGAATAGCCACATGCGGAAATTTGCGGATTTCTCGCGTGGCTGGGGCATTGGTGAAGAAACATTTGAATTCTGGAGCTGGCTTGCTCGACAGTAGGTAGTCTACTCCCGTTCGACGAGCTCGGACTGACGTCGTAAACACAGGCATCGCGTGTTGGCTGAACTCCTCGAGCAAGGCACACGCTCCACTCTCAAGATCCCGTCTGCCTACCCGACCCCAATGCCTTCAGCAGCAGTCCTAGCTGCTCAGTCTCTTGAGGCGTCGCAAATGGGACTATATGCCATGCGAGTGCTTGGTCTCAACCCGAACCAGGCTCTACAACATCCTGGCTTCTATTATTATATGGCAGCGAGATGCACGGAACGACGACGAGAGCGATTCCTCTCAGCGGCTGAGTCTGAGGTGATAAATGTGTGTTATGCTACGTGATAGTCCTTTTAACGGTTTCTCTAGGGAGATAGTCAGCAGTCGAATTCGCCTGGGTTTGTCAACGAAAAGAAGGTAGATCACCTAGCTATTGTCCTAGAGGTCAGCGACACACATTTTTTTTCTGTTTATCGGATACTTACGGCGTGATTACAGCTTTACACTCGCGCATATGAACTTTTCAAGAAATGGAGCCCACAAGGCGTGCAGAACCTGGGACGTCTAACCTTGTGGATTGCGTATCGTATTGCCCAGACATACTACGAATCGGGCAAGTTCGACATGGCTGTCAGGTATGCAGGTAAGCAGTGCCATAGGATCGATGCTGATGCGCTAGTCCCATGTCAGGTTCTTCGAGCGCATCGCCAAGACATATCGCAAGGAGAGTTGGGAGTCGTTGCTGCACCCGCTACTCTCTCAGTGGTATGCTTGTGCACAGCAGCTTGGCGACATGGAGCTCAGTGTGAAGTTATTGATCGAAATGTTTGCATATGGTACGCCGACCTTCCGACCATCTGCGTTCGCGATACGAGCTGGACGGTAAAAATTTCCAGGTTCAAATGCGTCTGCGGATGATCCAGACGCGTTGCAAGACGACCTTCTTGCCGTCCTTCAGGTTGGCATTGCAACGACATGTTCTTCAAGTACTGATTCTTAGCGTGGGAGTAGAGCACTGTGCCGTCTAGCACTGACGAGCCTGTCGTGGTAGATCTCTCTGATTCCAAACCCATTCGTGAGTACATGTTACAAACGTAGGTAGTCAGTGCTGATGAGTATCTTTGCAGTGGACGTCTCGGTGGTGTTCTGGGATTCCGAAATCAACGTTGGCGAGCAAGCGCCATTCCAGATCCTCCTCTCTTCCCAAACCAATGTCTCTTTGTCATCCATACCTTTCAGCCAGCTCGCCATTCACTTCAACGCTGACGTGCCTCCCGTCATCGTTAGCCACCATCAGCCTGACACCGATGATGAGACCCCCTCAGTGCAACGATTTGATTTGGGACTACTGGCCATGTCTCCTATGAACACAGAGCCTGTCGAGACTCAGGCTGTATTACGGTGGGGTCCCGATTCAACGATCGTGTTCACTGGATCTGTTTCATCCGCCCTGCCCATGCGCATCTCAGTATGTCTGCATATTACTGCCCTCGGAGTCGTGATGCTCACCTCAAGCTAATAGGTCTCAAAACTGGTATTCACCATCAAAGTGAATACCTGGTGGATAGAGTTGCCCATCGTGCCCGAGACCACCCGGGACGAGCACGCTCTCATTGCCCCCCGATGGCTCGCTGCGCTCGCCCCACCGCGCTTCATACCCATCCGACGCCAGGATAACTCGGGGGTGAATGTTCACTACCGCCCTCATCAAGTGCAGGTCGCAATCTCCCATGAAGGGCCGTCGTACATAGGGGAAGAGTTCCCCATCGAGATCAATATCACAAATCAGGACGACAGGGAGCTAGATGTAGTCCTCGATGTCCTGTTGCAACCAACGGAGATTGACGAAGCGGGTGAGCGGTCGTTGCGTACGATGTGGCGTCTTATGGCACTAAGAACGGCCCGTCGTGCAGTGAATCATATCGCAATGGACGACCAACGTTCTACAAGCTTGCTGAAGGCCGTCGCGTGCGGCGTGCTCGCTCCTGGTGTGACCGTGCTGAAGAGGCTCTTCCTCGCCAACACGGGTGCGCCCGGGGACCGGGTCATCGACATCTCGGTGCAGTCGCACTCGACTACGCAGCCGCCCGTCCCCCCCACCTCTCCCACGTCGCCGTCTAGCCCCACCATCCCTTCAAATGTTGATCGAAGCGAGACTCTGCGTACGCTCACCATAAGCGCAATGCAGCCTGTTCGTATCGAGCATGTCGTGACGTATAGGCGACCGAGGAAGGCTCAGCCAGGCTCAGCGGATCTCGAGACGCTCGAAGAGGGACAGCGGGGCGAGCCGGCGGCGACGGAGGCGCTAGTTACGAGTGTTCTTTCGATCGCGGCGCCGTCGGGCCTAGTCATCGAGGGCGTGGTGTTGCATCGGGAGGTCAGTGCACACAGCACGCTCGTCACGACATTGTCTAATCGCAAACGCCGGCAGGATGACGACCTTGCAGACGCGCTTGCAAAAGTCATCGACTGCTCAGCGGATCAGGACGATTTTAGCGGAGGTGGGTGAATCCCCTGGCGCGTTGAGCTGCGTGTCTGATGTGCGTAGAGTGGCTTGCCGGCGATGAGCTTTGTGATAGGTGTCGGATCAGCATCGTTCCAGAGGATGAGGATATGGAAGATACAATTCCTGGGCCTGGAGAATACGAAGTGACTTGGAGGAGGCAAGTTTCCCTTTCACACTATCAGCAAACGACGCGTCTCACGCAAGCGCATTCTAGGCTCCTCCGTGACGGCAGTCATGGCACCCGCTCATCAACGCGCTTCCCGCTCCCACCACTCTGCCTGCCCTTGGACGGACTCATCGCACTCCTGGACGCTCCCACGATCGCGCGCCTGCACGCACCCATTCCGTTACGGCTTACGCTGCGTAACCGCCACCCGACACGCACCGCGACAGCAACGGTGCAGCTGGACCCGGACACGGCCGATGCATTCGTTGTGGCAGGGCTCCGGCACGGGCGCATGCCCGTCCTTCTTCCCGGGCAGGAGGACTCGCTCTCTTGGAGTCTGATCCCTTTGCAGTGCGGCCTCGTCCGCCTCCCGCGCGTCGAGGTCCTTGACCATCGCAATGCGGTGCAGCTCGTGGGTAAACCGGTGCCGGGCGTGGGCGGGGCAGACGTCGTGCAGACGGAGGGCGACGAGGTGGAGATCGTGGACGTCCGGTGGGACGGCCGCCCCGAGCGGATAGAGGACGAGGAGGGGAGGGAGGTACGGATATTGAAAGGGCACGAGGCGTACGTGTTGGTCGTGC